GCCTTCCTCAGTCGAGTCAGGTGATGAGAACTTCTTTAGTCAGGAGAGAAAAGTTTCTCCAATTTGTCTACTTCCTGTCACAGGCAGGGAGAGCAGAGGAGACAGGAGCACTTGGGAGTGCAGCAGTCTTTTGGAGCTGCAGATGGGTGCGTGACCTCTGGCTCCCTGGGGTTTACGCTGTCCTGCTCACTCTTTGTGAAGCAAGTGTCTTAAAAGGATCTCATAAGCAGCCTTTGAACAGCTGCTCTGCAAATGCTTTCCACATCTCAGATCCAAAGTCCTCACTTCCCTGAGAAGTGTGAGCCACCTAAAGGAAGCTCCTCTGCTCTCTCCACCACAGCCCCTGCCTGTGTCCATGAGCAGGAGACCTATGCCTTGTCATCATTCCCTGGTAGTGATGCACAGAGAACAGTGCTCATTGAGCACAAGATAGGTGCTCAATAAACATCTGTTGAATAATCAGCTAATCTAACTTAATAGGGATGACTGGCTATAGAATAGATACAGGATTGAGAAGATATGGATCAGTGGCAATAGGTACAAAAGAGAGTGGTTTTTGTTGTCCATACTTAATATGAATCAATAGGTTGGTGTGATTTGTGTGGTCTTTCTCAGAAAAGCTACTTTTCTCTTATTCTGCAGCAACATGAGTAAAGTTTTTAGTGTTCAGTATTGGACATTTAACAAGCATTCACAAGATGGTGACTCTTTTTGATTGATGAGAACACAACAGTCAAAACAAACAAACAAAGAAACAAACAAACAAACAGCAACAGAGCCCCAAAGGAAGGCAGGGTGAGTTCACACAGGGCCTTGGAGGCTGTTGCAGTTTGTGTCTTGATGTCTTTTCAAAGCCTCACGTGGTCATAGGTGGGGCTTTTCAGAGGTGGCTGGATCTAGAGTGTGTGATGCTGGGACCAAGGATGTGTGATTACTAAATTAGTCCACTGATTGGTTTGGCATAGTTCTTGGTAGTGTGAGTGCTACCCACACCAGAAGGAAAGCCATTGCTTATTGCTGCTTGTTGCCTTCTACCTGCCCTGCTTTGCCATGAACTATTTCTCCTCTGTAACGCCCCTCCACTGTGGAGCCAGCCAACTATGGACTGAAACCTCTATGAACTGTAAGTCAAATAAACTTTTCCTCCTTTAACTTTAGGTGTTAGGTATTAGAAAAGTAACCAAGACAGAAACCATGTGAGGATGAGGAGGAGGTAGTTCCAATTTCCTCTGCGCTGATCAGTCCACAGCAATGGGCTGGTGTTTTGATTCAATTTTGTGTGAGCAAGGGAGACAAGCTGAAGCTGACAACCACAGCCAGCATCAGCAGGGGCCTCAGGTCCACCCATGGACATGAGTGGAGTGGCTGTAGGAACTGAAGAGACAGGGGAAGACAGGGGCCAGTGTTGTCATCTTCATGAGTGTCACTCGGAGAATGGATGAACCCCATTTGGTTTTAAGTTCTGTGTGGCCTGAGAGCTGGACCATGTACTGCCAAGTGAGCTCTGAGGAGGCCATTTGGGCTGTGCCTAGAGGGGACAAGTCTCAGAGCGATACCTGCAGACTCAAGACTCAAGGAGACTGAAGTAGGCGGGTGCTCCTCATCCCTGGAGATGCTCAACAGTAGACAGGATAAAAAAGGCAGAAGTGCCAGCTGCATTTACAGTTACTTTTCCCATGGATAAATCAAGCTGGGGCTAACCTTCTAGTTGCCCGGCATGCCTTTGATGGTGCACTGGTGCACCGATTCTATAGACCCTACCCCTCTGAGTAGGTCCTCTGTGCTCCCAACAGAAGTCTGAGTCCAGTACACAACAGGACTGGCACACATGCTGTGAAGGTTAAGATGAACTGTCACCTTGATTGGCTTGGGAGCCACCATGGGGATTAATAAAGCACACTTCTGGGTGTTTCTGGGTGGATCACAGAGACATCACAGAGGGTACTATTTCTGGTATCTGGCACTGTTCCCCTGCTCTGCTTCCCAGCCACCATGAAGGGTACAACTTTGCTTCACCATGCCCTTCCACCACAATGGTCCCACCTCAGAGTCAGCCAACCATGGACTGAAACCTCTGTAACCATAATCCAAATGAAACTTCTCCTCCTGTTAGTGGTGGGCATCAGGTAATTTGTCTCAGCAATGGGAATGCTGAGCAGTACATCTGCCATTTCGAATACAGCTCAGACAGCAAGGCCTCATTTTCAGAGTGCTTCTGAAAGCAGGAAGCTGAGCTCTGCCTTTAGCTGTCATGCCAGGGCAGCTGCGGGGAAGTTAGGGATGTGCTGAGCAGGTGTCACTTCAGCCAGCATCCAGGTAATCCCCTGCTTTCACAAATGTGGAGACAGACAACGGGCACCATGGTAAATAACCCACCTGTTTTCCTGCTGCCTTGGGAATCTTCCTAGGGTCTGTTAGCTTTTCAGGGGAGCTGAGCTTTTGGCACAAAGGATAAGCAGCAGTCAGGGCTACTCCTTAAGCCCAACATTCTCTGAGATCTTTCTCTGCAGATGACTGTGCACAGGGGCAGATAGCAGCAAAGCCACTGTAGATTCCGTGTCTCTGTTGTTAGACTCAGGCCACAGGGCTTTGAAAACGCCTGCATTTTATCCTTTTAGAGTGGAGATTACCATGTCTGTCAGGCTGTTACAACGCATCACTGTTCTAAAGAGCCAAGAATTTAGTTCACCACATGAGGGGTAACAAAAAGGGTGATTGCTGATTTTAAAAATGTTTTATTCAAAAAGGCAATTACTCCCTGAACAGACCCTTAACACTACTGACTGAGAGGGTACTAGATGAGGCAGAATTTAACAATTTACCAGAAATTTCACTAGCTGTGACCATAGTAGGTAGTAAAATGACAGCAGAGATGGTTATAGTTGATGATTATTCACTCCCCTGCTTAGGCACCTGCTCTAGCTCCCTAGCTACCCAGCTCCCATTCCCTAGCTAGGTATCTGGACACCAATAGGGGCTAGGCTCTCTAGACCTCACCAGGTGGCCCAGTCACAGCAACACAGAATGGTCCCACCAAGCCAGTTCTCTTGGAGTCAATAAATCCACCAAATCAAGCTGGGCATGGTGGTCCACGCCTATAATCCCAGAACTTGGGAGGCTGAGCCAGGATGATGGCCACAAATTTGAGAGGAGCCTGGGCTAGATAGTGAGTTCAAGGTCAGCCTGAACTACAGTAGTAGAAAGACTCTGTAAAAACAAAACAAAAAATAAAACAAAACAAAACAAAACAAAACCCACAAGGTTTACTGAGCTCCTGCCATGTGCTCAGGCCTAGGAGGCCCCACCTATGTCCTCAAGGATTTTATGCTTGATTGAGGAAACCAGGTTAACAAATACAAAATAGGTAGTGAGCAGTCTAGGGCTTCATCATTGGGATGCCAGCAGAGATGCAGAAGAGCCTGGAGTCACAGGTAGGACATCACAGAAAGGGAAAGTGGGATCCCACGGCTGACTGTGTGGACACACACAGCCATGGGTAGAGGGAGGACACAAAGGTAACAGGACCACCCTGCAGCCAGGACTGGACTGGAAGCCACCCCCACCCCTGCATGGTTTCTCTGTGTTGTGTGGACAGTCCCAAGCACTTGCCAGCACCCAACCCATAGCACTGTATGAGTGCTTTCTGTGAGCTATGAAAAGCTGCCCAGCAGCGTGCAGAAGTGGCACAGAGTTGTGACCCCACGGGCTTGGGAAGAGAGCATCCCAGAAACAAGACTCAACGAGGGAGGTGACAGTCGAGGGGAAGACACCTGGGCTCCTTGTTCTCTGGCATGACAATGTTGAGACATGTCTGTCACACCTAGTTCCAGGGCCCCAGGACTGTGCCTCAGTTCTCTACAGAGGTAACCAGTCCAACAGAGCACCTTGCTCCAGCTTTTCTTCCTCATTGTCTTCCTTTTCTGATCCCCTGACTCCATCTCCCGAGTAAACCAGCTACTCTCACCTCTGTCCCAGGGTGTCTTTGGGGATCCCACTAAGGCACAGGTGTTAAATTCTACTGAGTTACAGGCTCTGTGACCCCAGCCAGATTGGAGCCTGCAGTGGCAGGGGCTCTCCTTTCTGGAAGGCTTTCTCCTGGGCTGTGGGACTCATCCCCCTGCAGAGCAGGGCAGGGCAGTGACTGTTGGGAAAGGGCAGATAATACCAGTGATGACAGCTGTGTGAGGGACAGCCACTGTGCTAAGAAGCACATTCTCAGACCTTAGCTGCCTGAGGATTCACAGCCAACTACACCGTTTCCTAAAGGAGAAAGCTGGGGGGTTTTCTCTCCCAGATCGTCTAACTAGTCAAAGGCAGAGGCAGGATTAGAAGTCAAGCCTGAAAAATCAGAAGGTCTGTGTTCTTAACAACTGGGTATCAGGGCCCAGGGCCACCCTTCTCTGAGGAGTGGGATGGGAGGAGTAGTGAGGAGAAAGCTACACACTAGTCATTGGCCTGACAATGCCCTGTCCCCTAACTGCCACAGTTGGGAGGAGGTCTCTGGAATCATCCCTCAGTTACCTAGAAGCTGGGAAACAGTGCACACTCTTGAGAGACTAAGCACCGATTACAGAGGCTATGACCTAAGGACTCAGCAATAGGAATGGCAGCACCTTGACCTTGGAGCCCAGAAGTAGGGAAGGATTGGGAAAAAGAGAGCTCTTCTCCCTCTCCTCGCCTCCCCTCCCCTATCCCACTCATCTGCAGAACAGTTAATTTTGGACACAACAGGGATTCCACTTTGTGCTCATTTGCTGAGCTTGAGAGCTTAATCTGTCTTGGTGAACTTTACCACAATGATGGAGGCCTTTACCGTGAGGAGCAGAGGCCGCCAGGGGTTGACAGCCTGGGTGTAGCCAGAAGGATGGCTGGTCTTCAGGCAGGCAGGAGAATGTGACATGGGCATCAGCAGGTAGGAGAGAAGGAAGGCAGGGTAGTGCCCCCACCTAACCTTCCCATTCCCAACTCGGGACTCTCAATAATCACCCACAGCTTAGTACCTGGGTTCCTGGTTTCAGGGTTGCCACAAGGTCTTTGACCATTTTGACTTCAGAGACTGTGATGCCGCCCATCACAAAGAGCATCAGGAGGGGGTGGTCACCGGGATGAGGCCGGCTCACCTGTAAAACAAACAACACCAGCATCAGACGGAGCCCTGGGGCTGCCACCCTGGTCATGCAGGCTTCATGGAGACTGTGATTTACTAGCCATCAGAGGTGACAGTGCTTAGTAACCTCACTGACAAACACAATGTAGAAGAAGACGCCTTATTACAGATCTTTAAATAAAGATGTATTGAAAGCAAAGTTCAAGGAGCCAAGGCACAAGAGAAGTCTGAGAGACCATTTATTCCTCATCATGGTTCTGGTCTCAGCATAAACTTGCTTTCCTTCTTTGACATATAGCTATGTTCATTTCCTTCATGGAAATGCCCTGTGGACATTATTTTTGTTTGTGTGTTTGTTTCCTTCCTGGCTGGCTCCTGTATTCACTTGACTAGAAACTCAACCAGGGCAGGCTTTGCATGTCCCTGGCTCACTGCTGAGCTCCCAGTTTACCTATGCAGTTTTTGGCACAGATTAGGTGCTACACAGATGTCCATGGCATGAACAGAGTTCTTGGCAGGTGGTGGTGGAGGGTGCCAGATGAAGGGCATCAGAGCCCACTCTCAAGGAGATTATAGTCTGGCATGGACTTAAAGCTCAGATTATCTGAAGGGTTCTTTGGAAAGCTCAGGATATCAGGCATGCTTCTAATTATCTTTACTGTTTTCTGTGAGCAGCTTAGGGAATGGAAGGAAGGGAGGGAGGGAGGAATCTAAAGATCTTCAGAATAGGTAGTTATGGGAAAAGTTACAAAACTCATCTTCAGAAAGACTCAACTCCTTATCCCCTCTCAACATCCTGCTCTTTCCTTCTCTTTGGCTGCATTTGTAGACTACTTCTTCTACTCCATATACCATACACCAACAGCAACCCTGCTGTTGTCCTACTATCCCCTGGAATTGCTTCTGTTGAGGTCACTGATGGGCATTACATTATAGGAGGCAATGGACTTCTGCCTTCATCTAACAGACATTTCTGTGGCATTTATCACCATTGATGATACCCTTATTGGATACTACATGATAACACTCTCTTGGTCATTCTATCTACCTTTCTAATTTTGTTTCTTTTTAGATTTCTCTGCAGTTTTTCCTCCTTTGTCTGTCCCTTTAAATGTCAATATTACTTGTGCCTCCATCCTTGGCCTCTTGCTCTTCTCATTTAATACAACATCCCCAAGGGCCTCATTTTCTCATCTGCCTTCAACCATCTTTTATATACATCCCACATCTATGTCTTCCGGTTAAGCATTTGTATGGGGCTCACTGGACATTACCACTTGGATGCCTCACCACATCCCTAAACTCAACAGGCTTCAAGTTTGATATTCAATCTTTCTCTCAAATCTATCCTTCTTTGGAATTTCTAACAACATTACCACCTTTGCATTCATCTGAGCCACACAAACTGGAATCATCTTAGACTTTGATGTCTCTTCCATCTTGCAGATCAAGTCCATTGCACCCCTCACAGTTATTGATACATCCCTGAGTGCCACTGCCCATGAAGTACCAGATTACTGCCACAGCCTCCTAGCTCCTCTTTCTGCCTGCACTCCCAGCCTTGCATTCTCATTTCTGCCTAGTAAGCTTTTCAACATACAAATAGTACTGACTAAAATAAGTACGCTATTTTTGTACATTACCTTTTTAAATTTTCAAAATATCCTCAGAAGCCAAACACAATTACTAGTGTATTTTGCAAAAGAAGATATTGAATCAACTACTGTAAACTGTGGAGTCAGGAGCATAGTTCTAAACCAAATCCTGTGGATTTGTTTATATCTACATTTTATCTACTTCATACACATGTTTTGCTGGAGCCATTCATTCACAGTGACTAGTGCCATGCCTGAATGCAAGATTATTTGTTTCTTTTTTGAACATTTTATTGGATATATGACATTTTATTGAAGACAGGTATTGAAAAGTACATTATCACAAATGTATAGGTCAATTTATTTTCATAAAGTAAATAAATCTGTGTGACTAGCACTCAGTTTAAGAAACAGAAAACCACCCTCTCAGCCATGTCTTGTTTTTACTTCCCCAAGGGTAACCACCATTCTAACATTCAACATGGTTACTCTGATTGTCTTTGCTCACTTACATATCAGGGAGGTTTTCCTTATTAGTAGAAAGGATCTGCAATCCACAGGCACAGTTTGGGTCTTACCAGTAGGATCTGGCCTCTGTCTTTGCCCATGGCATTCCAGTTATTAAATAGTTTGAGTGTCCCTGTGTCATATTGTCTTATGTAGCATTAATAGTTTTCTCTGTGTGTAATACCTCTGCCTTCTCTCTTGTTATTCTTTCTTAAAAGCATCCCCTTCTCTGAGAAATTCTTCCCCATCATCCTTTGACTCCTGACCATGACTGGAGTCACAGACTCCCCTTGGAATCCAGCCTTGGCAAATCCATCTGCTGTCCAGATATAACTGTTTCCTCCTCCAGACTCTGAACTCCTGGAGGCCAGAAACTGAGCACACTTTCCTTGTATTTTCAACACTAAGCATGTACCTAGCACATGATAAACTTTCAGTATGTGTTACATGAATAAAGTAGATGAATGAATGAATAAGTGACATGCACAGGTCAACAAGAGATAGCCTTCTTTTTTAAAGACCTTTTAGAAACTCTGTTTTATGCATAGTTCTTCTGGCAGCATAACTAACCCTAAGATTCCTCCCAGCCACACAAACAACTGTGGTTTCTCACTTAATCCTGGGGCAGAAATACAATTGGCTCCAGGCTTCAACATGGTACAATATGTTCCCCAAAACATATGCTTTCCATAAGAGAATCTGGAATCTAGAGTACACGGCTAGAATGTACTTGGAAGGGTGTATTGAAAAAAGGAAAAAAGGAAAAAAGAAATGAATACTAACAACAAAGAACTATGTCCTGGGGCTAAGGAGTGAGAGAATGCTGGTTGGGTACAAGTAAATGGGTCCAATTAGTACATGTGGGTGTTTGCTATTTTGGTTTCTGTTTAGATTTTGTGTTTTGATGCCAGACTTTCCTTTCAGAGTGTGTCAAGTCAGCAGACTACAGGGAAGTAGAGCCCTTCCCATCTGAACAACACATTCTGCATAACCAGCCGTGCACGGCTGAGTCCAGTATGCATGTTAGTTCATTGTGTGATGACTTTGAAGATGAAAGATTTAAGTATCATTTTTGTCACTGCAAACGCACATATAAATAAAGCAAGTCAGTGATCTTTCATTTTTCTAAATCTTCACTGTCTATGTATTTAAGACATCAGTTCTGGTCAGAGAAGATGGTTTCCTTTCACCACAACATCCTGGCCTTTGCAGCAGAGGCTTCAGGCCCTTTCTGTAGGTGTGGGCTTGGTGAGAGCTCTTTGATGTCCTGATTTGGCTGCCAGGGCCAGGGGTTGTAAAGAGAAGGGTTTCTGGGAGCTTTCCAGGAGTTCTAAGAATCCTACTGCCTATTCCTCCCCCACATGTGCTCCTTCACTCAGTTTCTCTCCATCTGTGATTCACTTGTCCCTGGAGCAGCCAAGGTGTGGTCCTCTACTTTCCATCAATGAGTAGTGCTTTGTGTAAGCAGAAACAGGGGGTTGGGCCTTAAAGGGTACTAGGCCCTGGGCAGATTATGCTGACTTAACAATGGTCCTTGGTAATGGATTTTATCTCAGCTGGAGTGAATAACAACACCACCCTGCCACCAAACATTTCATGTTTAGTGCTATGTTTCTTATTCATTTATCCATCCACTCAACAAATATTTATGGGGGCCAGACACTACACGAAGCATCAGGGATTTAGAGTGCAACAAACAGAAAAAAACCCTGCTATCACAGACCTTATATTTTAGTGGGTGGAGAATGAAAATAAGTAAGTACACTGGTAATTGCAGAAGGTGGTAAGTGCTATGGAGGAAAACCAAGTAGGGGAGTGGGCAAGCATTATTCTAGGTAATCCTTAGAATCTATGCAGAAGGGGAAAGAACTAATTTACAGATAAAGACACTGAAGCATGTAGAGTAAAATAACTTAGTTCAAGGTCACCATATAGACGGGTATAGGGTCAAGACTGGAATCCAAGTCTGTCTCACTGTTGAGCTGTAAATGTCCTACCTTGCAATCCATACACTGCCATTACAAGCAAATTTTTCAAACTAAAAGCATTTTTACTAGCTTTGATCTCTTAAAACTTTCACTTTTAGTATTTAGAAATGGCAGCCAATCACCAAGTGGTCGTGGGACCTACTTCTGTAGTCACACTGCACAAGACTTCCATGCTGTCAGGCCTGCTCAGTTGCCCAGCTTGGCCTCCCTGCTAAACTTGCTGCACTCGATGGCTTCCTCTTTCCTAAAACTTCTCCACTGCCCCCTTCCATTTCAGTGCTCTCCTAGTTTCTGTCCTTTCTTCCTGGGTTCTCCTTAGATGGTTCTCTTGCTCAAGAGAACTGCTCCATTCTCTGCTTGTTCCTGCCTGGTCTTCTCCCAGCACCTCCCTGGACAGCTCCATCCTTTCCTACAGTTCAGTACTTCACTCAGGCCAATGGCTCCAGCTTGCTACTGTTGGTCCAGGCCCTGATGAACTGCACAGTTGTCCCATAGGCTGCCAAACTCAACGAGCCTAAAATGCAGGATACTTTCTTCTTCAGTCCTGCTTCGTGATCAGATATAGTGACTGGGGTCAACACTGTCACAGTCTTCTCAAGCCAATGGCCCTGGACAACTTCCTCTCATTTACCATCACACCCAATCGATAACCAGTCCTGTGGAATCCACCAGTGCTACGTCCTGCACCCTCATTCCCTCAGCCCTATCTGAGCTCAGACTCACTTCTCCTCACACTCCCTCCCCACCTGATGCCAAGCCAGACTTGTTTCTCCCTTTCTCAGTGCCGCCAGGGCAATCTTTATAAATTGTAAAGTTGAAAGAATTCCCAAAAGTCATTTGATAGTACCTTATTGTTCTTGGTCAAATATCAAACCTCTAGCCTTTATTGATCTAGCTTTTGCTCATCTTTTTCTTCATATCCT